CTCTTATATATATATTTACATATATATTTATATATATACTTAAATGTGTATATATGTATTTTATTTAAATATGCATATATATGTAAATATAAAACATACACCTATGTTTTACCCAAAATGTCATAATTTAAACTTGTCAGCAATGTGAAAATTATTAAGATAATATTTATATACTGTTATTTATATTGACTTCAAAACCTGAATGCTTTTTAAATTTATGATACACTTCAATTCAAACTAGCCCCAATTCAATTGTTCAATCACTGCATGACTTTTTCTCCACATAAGTCATCATGGAGACTTCCCAGCTGCAGAAGACGGTAGGGGATTTGAGGTCAGCCATTGAAAGCTCCCTGAGAACTGATCATTCTTGTCTTAGAGATGAAGCGGTAAATTAGGAAATAATTTTATTATTTTTCATCAGCACAAAAGGGCAGATGGTTGGGTAGCATGATGAAATAATTCCAGTGATCATCTCCAGCCTTGGGTTTTTCTCAGATTTATAAAAGAAATAAAGGGTGATGAAGTTGTTTGAGTAATAAAAGCACACAAAGCAACTGAGCAGCAGAAGGATGGTATGGGTGGCTCTGTGTTCACGAGATGGCTGGGAAGAGAGGCTGGGGCTGTGCAGACGCTGGGCTGGTGTCTGCAGAGCAGACTCGCCATGTCGATGCTGGTCCAGACCATGAAGAACACGAACAGGACATTGTGAATCACCATGACATTGATAAATGATCCTTGCGGGAGTTTTATCTGTTTAGATCATGGATGTACGTCAAACCCATTAAATAGTACCAAGAATAAGGAACATGTGCAAAATATATTTGTGGAATGAATAAAAGAAGTCCCATAGAGCAGTTCAGTTTAACAGAAATATAATCCAAGCTCCAAATGCATATTAAATTCTTGTATGTATGGCCTAGTTTGACAATAATCTTGTGAATATCCAGGACCAACACTGGTGAAACTGGTATTGGCTTCTGTGGTTTCAATGATGTGAACATGGATTAGCATGTTGGTGAGCCAGAGGGAAATGAAAAAGGGAATAAGTCTCAAGGCTGATATTCGGATCACACAATAGTTTACCAAACTCGTTACCAATATCGTAACGAGACATTCACACCACAAACCAGGAGAAAACGTTGGTGTTTTCACACAGTATAACTTTCTGCAAGACATTGAAACAAGACTGTATATCATAACGAGACTTTCATCTCACTTAATTCAACCTTTTCTACTTGGCAGAATAGTGGTATAATTCAAATTTTATGATCAATTCCTTCTGCTTATAACTTAACAGAACCCAACCTACAAAATTCTTTAGTATCCATTGGTTAAATAAGAAATTGTCTGTGCTGTTGCTAATATGACATGCTATACCTGGACAAACTCCTCTGAGAAAAGTTGAGGCCCCTATACACAACATAAGAACACAGGCCACATGGTTACCCCAGGACTCACCTAATTCCCTACTGTCTTGAATAACTGTTTGAGTTCTTCAATTAGTTGTCTTTAAACCTAGGTTTATGGCTCAAAACCATATGCAAACTGAAAATCTCATATTACTCTTAATTTGTATTTCTTCTTACTTTGTATTTCTCCTTTTTAAACTTTGTATCTGTTACTTGTTAAATTTTTTCAGAGGCGCAGCTCCTACCAAGATAATACTGAACCAGCACTTTAAAATGATAGCAAAAGATTGTAGAACAGACAAAATTGAACTTATTAATGGACTCCAGGGAGACTTAGCCTGAGAGTCGCACCCTTCAAATCTCATTTGTTGCTCAAATGCTTTTGACATCGATTCCTAGTCACCAATCACTCCCCAGAAGATGAGACGAGACCAGCAAACTGGGACAGGTCCATCCTGGCATCAAGGGACATCAAATCTTAATTACAGAATGATTGATCAATGATGCTTCCAGAGAAAGTTCTTGATCACAAGGGGAAATCTGAAAGTTGTCAGAACAAAATGGAGTCACTCATGTTAAGATAACCCTGACAAATAGAGCCAGGAAGGCCATGAAGAGAGGGGTCTTATCCTTGTATGCCTGAAAATGAAAAAGACTACAAAACCCACAACCTTGCATAAAGGTCTTCACAACCTTAAACAAAAAATGTTTCTGCAAGGAACACTGCCCAGCAATTGCCTGTCCAACCTTGGACTAATGTCACCTTTGTGACTGATCTTGGTAGCCAAGGAAAATTCTGTCAAAACAATATGCAATCCTCCCCATTTCTGTCTTCCTTTATCTCCCTGAATATACTCATAGTTTAATATGGCATGTCTATTCCCAATTGCAATGCTCCATTCTCAAATAAACACTGTTACCTTTAGGAAGCTTTCATATGTTTGTTATTTAGGTTAACACTTCTAAAAATTAAAGTATTACAGTTACAATGTAAAATTATTAGTATTAACAAGATAGACATTGGTATAAAATTATTATTACAGAAATTAAGACAAATTGTGTATGAGAGAGATTATTAAGACTGTCCCAGCCAAGTCACTGAAGTCATAAATTTAAGCTACGACAAAATTTATTTTGTTTGTTTTGTTTTTAACAAGGGGAGGGCGCTATTTCCCTTTCTGACAGCCTCACATGAACTTCCGGAACCCTTTGGAGTACTGCTTTCTTCCTAAGTGACCAAGAGGAACAGAACACAGAGCAGCCTGGCAGTGTCCAAGTCACAAGCCGCTGCTCCTCCTTCCTGTACCCTGGGGCTCGTGAAACTCACCGGGTAAGCGCTCCTGAAAAAAGCGCTCCTGAAAAGCAGCAGGTGGTGACTTTAGGGGAGGACAGGCCAAATGGGAGAATCCCCTTAGGATCCGGTTTCTCCAGTTCTCAAGTTCTTTTGAAATAATGCTCGTAGAGAAGGAGGGTTTTCTGAGAATTGAGGGAAATAAACTCTCAGGACTTCCGGTCGCCATGATGGTTGTGGGCAATCAACAGGGTCGCTGCAAGCATCGGGGGCATCTTTAATGTGGGCAGGAAAAAAACACGATTCCTTACTTCCGCAGCGTTTATAATATCCTTGCCCATTATTTAAAATAAAATATATATGACATAAGTAATAATATATTTTAAATAAAATTGAAGCAATGTATGAAATTTCTCTGTAATTCATCCAGCCACTCTCGGATGTTACCACTGCCCAGAAACCTCTTAACCCCCACCCCCGCGTGATTTATGTATTTGGTTTGTATTTTCAATATTATTTTCTGTAATATTTAAACCTTATATTTGCTTGGTGTCATGCTGTACAGTGTCATGCAATTTGATTTTTAATCAATATTACTTTTTTTTTTTTTTGTGATGGAGTCTCTGCTCTGTCACCCAGGCTGGAGTGCAATGGTGCGATCATTGCAACCTCCGCATCCCGGGTTCAAGCGATTCTCCTGCCTCAGCCTCCCGAGTAGCTGGGGTTACAGGTGCCATCTACTGCACCGGACTAATTTTTGTATTTTTAGTAGGATGGGGTGTCACCGTTTTGGCCAGTCTGGCATGGAACTCCTGATCTCAGGTGATCCGTCCGCCTCAGCCTCCCAAAGTGCTGGAATTACAGGTGTGAGCCACCGTGCCCAGCCCAATATTACACTTTAAATGTTTATCCACGTTTACATGTAGTTTTAATAATTTATGTTAACTGCACTACAGTATTAATGCAGTGATGATATTATAATCAATGTATCCATTCTTTGATGATGGACATTCAGTTTGTTACCCTGTTTTCTGATAGCAAACCATAATACAATGGACTTTTTATATGCATTTTCTTGTCCACACATAATTTCAAGGGTAGGTGTGTCTTGAAGTTGTCTGGATGTAGCCATTTTATTCTCCAAAGCGGCTGTGTTTTTGCTTATCTCCACTACCGGTTTACGAGTTTCCATAACTACACATTCATATTCATACTTGATTTTTTCAGATTTTCTTATTTGCATCAGTATTGTGGGTGAGAATGATATCTGATAGTGGTTGTCATGCACATTCCCCTGATTACTAGTGAATTTTAACATCTTTTCAGGACATTTGTGTTTTATCCTTTTGATTCCTTATTTATATCATTCGTTTATTTCTTTGTTGTTTGTTTCTTTAATATGTTAAGCAATAATTAATTTTATTCCAAAATTTTTAAAATTTTAGGATTTTTTTTTAAGTGACAGGGCTTCACCATGTGGCACAGACTGGTCTCGGACATCTGGGCCCAAGTGATCCTCCTACCTCCGCTTCCAGAGTGGCTGGGGCTACAGGCAATGCATGCAGGCAGGGCTACGCCTTCATGCGTGGCTGGGATTTTTATTAGATGTTCTTAAACATTTCCAGTGTCATATAAAATACATTATTTACTATACAAGAATTTTAGTATTTGAACTTTAAGGAATGTAATTTTGCATTGTTTTCTTGTGAAGATGAATACAGATTTTCGTGGGAGTAAAAAAGACAATTTAAAGTGAAGAGTATTTGGTTTTCTTGAAATAATTTGATTTCTAAAATAAAAGTAAACAATCTAAACTTTTTAAATGCAATATGAAAATGTTTTCAATTGAAATTGTGATAGTAACATTTGATGAGTGGTAACTGAATTTTAATTGAAATTTCAATTGAATGTGTATCAAGTGATAAAAATCATGTGTATTTTAATTTTAATTTTAAAATTTAAAATTTAGTGTAATTTTAATTTGGTTTGTATGACGTCCAGACAAATGAAAGTATTATATATATGTACATATGTATAATAACATAGTGTCATGAAAGTACTATATATGTAAATGAAATTTTCCATGTGAAAAATTTAGGTGGAGGTTTTTAAACTGTTTATTTACTTTATAAAGAGTAATAAATTCACATAGTCGGCTGCCCAAGCACAGTTGAATATGTCCTGTAGTATTACTTTATGTGTGTATATATATATATCCAGAGTTTATGCATATACAAATTTTTGCTTTTTTGTTGAGTAGGTTTACACACTGTTATTTACTATGCCTTTTTTTCCATTAACAATAGGTCTTAGTGATAATCAGTATCAGTTTTTAGAGATCTTTGACATTCTTTTAAAATTGCATATTGTTTCATCATTGGATGTATCATGATGTCTTTATTTATTCCCTTACTAAAAAACATTTGAGTCACTTCAAGTTTGATTTTATTTTATTTGAGTTTTTATTTTTGAGACGGACTCTTGCTGTGTCACCCAGGCTGGAGTGCAGTGGCACCATCTCGGCTCACTGCAACCTCTGCCTCCCGCGTTCAAGCAGTTCTCCTGCCTCAGCCTCCTAAGTAGCTGAAATTATAAGCCCGCACCACCATGCCTGGGTAATTTTTGTATTTTTAGTAGAGACAGGGTTTCACCATGTTGGCCAGGCTGGTCTCGAACTCCTGACTTCAAGTGATCTGCCTGACTTGGCCTCCCAAGGTGCTGAGATTACAGGAGTGAGCCACAGCACCTGGCTGTGAAGGGGGGCTGCCCCTCTACACCTGTGGGTATTTCTCTTCAGGTGGGACAAGAGACTGAGAAAAGAAATAAGACACAGAGACAAAGTATAGAGAAAGAACAGTGGGCCCAGGGGACGGACACACTCTGCATGCGAGGACCTGCAGAGACGCTGGTCTCTGAGTTCCCTCAGTATTTATTGATCATTATTTTTACTATCTTGGGGAGGGGAGTGTAGCAGGGCAACAGGTAGGGAGAAGGTCAGCAGGGAAACATTCGAGCAAAGGAATCTGTATCATGAATAAGTTCAAGGAAAGGTGCTGTGCCTGGATGTGCACGTAGGCTAGATTTACGTTTCACTTTACACAAACATCTCAGTGTAGCAAAGAGCAACAGAGCAGTATTGCTGCCAGCGTATCTCACCTCCAGCCACAGGGCAGTTTTCTTCTATCTCAGAATAGAACGAATGGGAATGGTCAGCTTTACATCGAGACATTCCATTCCCAGGGAGGAGCAAGAGACCGAAGCCTTCCTCTCATCTCAACTGCAAAGAGGCCTCCCTCTTTCACTCCTCCTCCTCCGCACAGACCCTTTAGGGGTGTCGGGCTGGGGGATGGTAAGGTCTTTCCTTTCCAACGAGGCCATATCTCAGGCTGTCTCAGTGCGGGGAGACCTTGGACAATACCCAGGCTTTCTTGGGCAGAGGTCCCTGCAGCCTTCTGCAGTGCACGGTGTCCCTCGTTAATCGAGAACGGAGAATGGCGATGACTTTTACCAGGCATACTGCCTGCAAACATATTGTTAACAAGGCACATCCTGCACAGCCCTAAATCCATTAAACTTTGATTCATCACAGCACATGTTTCTGTGAGCACAGGGTTGGGGCTAAAGGTACAGGTTAACAGCATCTCAAAGCAGAAACGATTTTTCTTAGTACAGATAAAAATGGAGTTTTTTACGTCTTCCTTTTCTACACAGACACAGTAACAATCTGATCTCTCTTTCTTTTCCCAACACACACGTTTCTAGAGCAATGGTTTTTTGTTTTTTTAAATTATTGATTTCCTGTTTCATGTATCAGAATAGCTCTTTTACTCTGCTATGCTCTATTTGTCTATCTGTTTGTCAGTCTATCCATCTAGAAGTAAATACAGGCATATGTGGGCAGAGTTCAGTATCCATGCATGGATTCCCTACGTCTTTCCACTGAGAGACTAGGACAATGATACCTTAGTAGCCATAAACACACATAGTTCCCAGAAACAAGGTTCCTAAAGACTGTTTAGTTCCCGTAAATACCCTTAGTTCCTAGAAACCAAGATTTCGAAATACTGTTTTTGAATACAAGGGAGCCAAGGTGAAGTGTTGACTTCCAGGGCTGGGGCAGGAATATACAAGATAAAATTGGAACAAACTGTGACACCAGAACATAAAGAAATACTCCAAAAAGGCTGGGGCATGTTAAGTGAACACAGAAGACAAATGTGCATGACCTCAACCTAATCATGAGAAAATGTCAGAGAAATCCAAATGGATAAACATTCTGTAAAATAATTGACCACGCTCAGCAAAAGTGTTACAATCACAAAAGACAACGAAAAAGTAAGAAACTGTCACAGACCGGAGGAATCTAAGGACCGGTAACAACTAAGTGCAATGTGAGATCCTCGATTAGATCTTGGAGAACACAGAGGATGTTAAGAGAAATATTGACAAAATTCAAATAAGGTCTGCACGTTAGGTAATGGTACGACATGCTAACACCAATTTCCTGGTTGGATAATTGTATTATATATACTATTATATATACAATTATTATATTACAATTACATATACAATTTTACATTATATGTAATACAATAAATGTATATATGCAATTACTGAGCTATAATATAATATATATACGATACAATATATAATAAAATAAATGTATATATACAATTATATATAACAATTATATATAATACAATTATATATATAGCTAATATCAGGATAAGCTGGTTGAGGAGTTATGTCAGCCTTTGCTATGTTTGCATGTTTAAAATTATTTTAACATAAAAAAATTATATGGGTTGTGTAGCTGTTTTGTAAAGTTTAACTCCAGGCTCCATAGTTTCTATTTTAATGGGTGCATTTTCTTCTTTCATGGAATTGGGATAGTCTGTTATATTAAGAAGCTATTCATTTTTGTATATTAAGATTCTTCTGACCATGTGCAGTTGCTCACGCCTGTAATCCCAACAGTGGCTGGATCTCAGCTCACTGCAAACTCCGCCTCCTGGGTTTACGCCACTCTCCTGCCTCAGCCTCCCGAGTAGCTGGGACTACAGGCGCCCGCCACCTCGCCCAGCTAGTTTTTTTGTATTTTTTAGTAGAGACGGGGTTTCACCGTGTTAGCCAGGATGGTCTCGATCTCCTGACCTCGTGATCCGCCCATCTCGGCCTCCCAAAGTACTGGGATTACAGGCTTGAGCCACCGCGCCCGGCCCATACTATGCCTGCTTTTTAAAATGAACTATTTGTATCCAAGGAATGCCGCGTAATTTTAATAAATCAACTTGTGTTTAACACTCAGGATCATACAGCACTCCACTGTCTCACCATCCTCTCTCTGCAATATTGTTTCAAGCATCTTTAAACACACAAGTAGGTTTACAATTTCCAGTTGCAGGGAACTAGTGGGGGCACCTCTTAATCACCCACAAGTTGATCTTATCCATAGATCAAGTCTTAATACCATCTTGGAACAAAGCCCTACGATTGTGTTTGTGCAATTACAGTGTGTCCAGCATAGTGTGGCCTCAGAGTCTGTGCTGTTTATTTAAGATGCTGAAGAAAAATATGTGACCGGATCAGTTTCCATACTGAGTTGAGCTCTTCACAATTACTATTAGAGATTTACAAATCAAAACATGAATTCTAGGCAGATACATCAGGCTCTTGCTGCTCGAGTGACAATGCACCTAATTATGTCAGTAGAGAAAGCTAGAGAGGGTATATTTGTATATTATATCACCACATATAACAAACCATAATTCTAACTCTGCTACTGAGCAATGCAAAACCAACTCCAATTAGCACCATATTAAGACGAACAGAAAAGCTGCTCAATGAAAATCACAATTTCTTTCTTTTTTTTTTTTTTTTGAGACGGAGTCTCGCTCAGTCGCCCAGGCTGGAGTGCAGTGGCCCGATCTCGGCTCACTGCAAACTCTGCCTCCCAGGTTCACGCCATTCTCCTGCCTCAGCCTCCCAAGTAGCTGGGA